ACACACACACACACACACAAGTCACGTCTCACTGGTCACCGCAACCGCAGAACTCGAGCTACCCTGACTCGACAAATTTCCAGACGTCCACAAGGGTGGGGTCGAGTGCTCTCTCCCTCCCTGCAGCAAGGGGAATATTTGCCACCTGGGATCTCCCCGAGGCAGCTGGCCGGCCCGGCTGGCTGGAGGCGGCTGCTTTCGCTGGTCCGGCAGACAGGGTATGAGCAGGCCTGCACCTCTTCAGCCGACGGACTTTTTATTCTGAGCGACAGGTTCCCCCTGGCCCCACCTCCTCTCTGAAGGCTTGGAACAGAGAGGCCATGACCTCTGAGCCTGAAATTCAAACTCCTCGTAAAAAGAAAGTTGGAGAGGGTGAAAACACCCATTCAGACACCCGTTTCTCTCTTCCCCTGCTCTGTTTAGCTAATGCCGGGTCAGCTGAGATGAACATTCCCACACAGTGTCGTTTACCTTCGTCTGTGGATCGGACACACCTACAGGGCCTGTCATGCTCCTGTAATGCAGATGGATGTGTCTTCCTTTCCCGTTGGCATCTGAACTTGTCCTCTGCTGTGGCTCATTCTAGATCAGCTGAAAGTTGATACGTATTGGATTATGGATGGAAAGATGTATATGTATATATTTTAATGGATATTTTATTCTCAGAGGAAAATAAATATATATTATTAGTATTTCCTGGCCCGATTCTTGATTATCCAAAGCAATAAACAAAACCTTGTGTGCATAGACGTTTGACTATTGATTGACTTGATTCCTTAGCTCATCCCTTCAGCTGTGCCTCGAGAGATAGAACTGAAGCCACTGACACTGTGAAGTTTCACCGCTGTTTACTCTGCGCACGCTCCATCCATCCATAATAGCAGCCCCAATCAAGCCACATGCCGACGCTTTGCTTTATGATTTGTTTGTATGAACAATGATACAACAAATCTGGTGGACGCCTGCAGGAATGCAGCTTTGAAATGCTGGGATGAGGCGGTAATTACTGGAGATTTATCAGCGCCGTGTGTACACTTGTTGAGCTAATGTGGAAACGGGGTGCTGTGCAATCTGCTGTTTTGCTGCTCTCCGAGCTTCATTGTGCTCTCTCTCTCTCTCACAGGTGTGGCCTGGGGGCTTTAAAGTCAGAGTATTGGAAGAGATGAGTTCCCACTTGAAAAGTGAAAACAAATTTAAATGTGGGAAGAAGCCCAAGAAAAGAGAGTCACCTTTTGGATAAAGAAAGGACAAATGGGCGACAGGGGCAGTGACCTGTGCCTCCAGAAGAGACCAGAGAAACGTTGGAGAGAATACAAAAATATACTCCGAGTCTCCTTCACATGACAGCACTCTTCTCTCTCCCCTCTGTCTCCCAAAAAGTGATTTCCAATGCTTCTCTGTGTTTTCTATGTGTAATACCTTTGCTTATATTGCTAAGTAGACTGCAGTCAACAGGAATTAAGAAGGGATTATATATAAAATAAAGAAATGACCTGTTTTGCAAGTATCTCTATAACCTACATTACAATCAATCCAGTCCAATACCTCGATAGAACTGTTAGTTGCAATTTCTGCTTCCCTCTCGGCCAGATCTCTCTTAAAAAAAGACATTTTAATGTCAATGACACTTATTTTACCTGCATAAATAAAGGGTATATAAAATTGATGTCGCCAAATATTTATTCCAGCTGTTACCTTGTAATCGGAATGATCTTTCTTGCTCAAAATGGCTTGAAATTATAGGTCAACAAGCCATTTGCGGTAGTTCAAATACATGCAATCACTTTTTGGCTTCGCACATCTGGTCCTGAATGTGAGTGGACCCAGCAGCTCGTCCCAAAAGGACGCGACTGCATGTTTGGTCAGCAAATGTTCTGGGTTCACTTGACACACCAGAAACATTTTGATATAAAAAAAAATATCGTCCTCGTAAATTCAGTTTTATACTGTTACATAGGAAATGAAAAATTCCATTAAAACCACAACAGTGGCCACGTTATGGCTTGCCAGACAGGAGGAGAAGGAGGAGGTCTGCAGTAATCCAGTGCCTGCGTGTGTGTTTGTGTTTGTATGGCCTGGAAATGTGTGTGTTTTGCTTGCATGGGGTTTAACTGTAGGTGTACAAACAGTGTCATGCTGTAATTCCCTTTAACAATACTGAACAAGTTCATCGCCATAGCTCACAATGATGGATGATGTGGACACACTCGTTAGACACACTTGGATTTGTCGTGCCCTCTGCTCAAACTGCCACCTGCTTGCGGCCTCATTTGAAGTGGTGCCTGGCTCTACCAAGGAGGGAAACTTACATAATTTGGCAGATAGAGATGATATGTGTGAAAACTGCTTCAGGCATATTGAAGGAATCAAACAAAGTTCAGTTTTGACATCTCTAAACGCTTGTTTTGACATCTTTGATTCATCAGTAAGTCCCAAATATTCCAGAATTTTATGATCCTGGCGGGTCTACCTTTTCTCCTGTTGTTGCTGAGCTCATCTTTCTTATCTGATGGTACATTCCTGCATGTCAGGCACCTCAGCTGTGCGCTTTGTTGCCTTGTTGGTTGCTACTATTAATAGTACTTTGGCATAGACCAGGGAACCTCCCTGCATTTGTCTCTGCCTCAGCAGAGTGGGCCTGCAGAGGACAGCTATTTACCCAGTCTTTGTGCTCAGCGGGCCTCAGTGTTTGCCCTGCAGGGAGTGCCTCTGCTTGAGGGCCTTTTCGTGTGAATGTGGGTGGGTGGGTGGAGTGGGGTAACAGAGAAGAATGGGATAAACCCTATAGGATGGAGAAGGAGTGGGAAAGGTGCTTGATTTGGATTGCAGTGATCAGGGGTCTGGGGACTGTCACACTCAGTCCTTTTGCCCATCCTTCAAATAACAAGCCCAGGCCAGGGTAGGACATTTAACATCTGAGGGCATGAGTGAGTGTGTGTACATAATGAAGTCTCGTGGGTGCATGTGTGCATGGAAAGATGACAGAAGACTACAGAGGCACAAAGGGTCAGGGAAAGGACCCAACAAGGGATGCAGAAATAGTGCAGGGCCAAAGTCTTTCGGGCCGACCGTCATTTGGGGTCCCAAATGGATCACAACTCACCTATGCATGTCTCAGTGTGCGCATTCACGTGGGATATACTGAAACTCTCGACATTTATCAGTCCCGGTGTGTAAACAATGAAGGCCAAGAATCTTCCACTGGAACAGTTTTCTAGAAACGCTCCGTGTCCATCCCATATGACAGTCTCCCCCACTCTCCCTCCCTCCCTCCCTGCTCCCAGCGCAGGAACAAAAAGACATCTGAGCCATGCAGATGAGGAACAAAACTCAGAGCACTTTGTGCAGCCGCCACTGCGCTCCAGTTTCACAAAGTCTCTGACAGGGGGAGCGGCGCGCTGTTTTTACGCATAGCCTCCAGTCCAGCAACCTATTGTAGACATTGTAAAGTAGCCGCGTAGTACATTTGTGGAGAGGACACAGCTCTGATAAATGGATACCTGAGTCCAGAGTAGAAGAGCTTTTACCAAGAGAAAAAACAAGATATGCGCTTTTTGGAGACGCTGCGTAAATGCGTGACGCATGGACTTTTTTCTTTTTATTTTGACCGACAGAGGAGAGGTTTTCTCCGTTTTAACTTCAAATTTCAAATCAAATCAAATCAATCAAGCCAACAGATCCACAAAAAGAAGACAAAAGGGCTTTCCATGTGATTTTTTTAACCAAACCGTGACCGCACAGTCTATTCCCGGACGTTTTGTCGTAAAAGAGACGCAAATCGTGCTTTGAAAACTTATTTAGTCATTAACCATAAGAGCTGTTTGGAGACAAGACCGAACAGGTTACTAGAGGTAAGAAGCGGAGAGTCATGCCTGGAAAAACTGGCTTCTTTTCATTAAACGCTGGTTTGACGTGTCAGCGGAGACGTAGTACAAGAAGCAGATTGAGGGCAAACATTTCTTGCACTTCTGACTGTTTGACCGACTCTCCTCGCTTTCTCTTTCTCCGTGTTGAATTGTTTGTGTCACCGCAAACAAACTCCCCGCTAATTAGATTTTATATAGGCAGTAACCTGCCAACACCAGTTAGCTGTAGAGTTTTATTTTCTTCGTCCTGGGTAGATGTAACCGCCTGCAAAATGTCTTTCTTGACAAGTCATTCGGTCTCGTATTTCAGACCAGAATATCGTTTCCTTTAGACAGCTTCAGATATTTTTGAGAGGGCTTGTAGAAACAAATATCTTGAAGTTTAAAAAATGTTGGGGTTTTTTTTTCATCACAAATAATACAGAGTAACAAAATAATGGTAACAAAAAGATGGGAAACTGCCCCATCCTTTGGTTATATTTAATTCATAGTTCAGTCAGACTTGAGAGCCATATAAAACACAATGAACTAACTTAACTCACTGGTTATTACTGTGTATTTACCATCCACTGTCTCTGTTCTTGTTCAGGGTGCTGAGGCTCTACAAGAAGGACTCCGGCCATAGAAAAAAAAGCATTTTTGGCCCCACATAAAGGAGGAGGAGGCGCTTCTTGCCTTGAAGCTGAGACGTTTTTAGATGGATTCTTTATGTCTGCTTCAGCACCGGAGCAGACGGTCTGCTCTGAACATTTGCAAGCCGTGACAGCACGTTACAAAACATGACGCATCGTAGCGTATGGATTGCCAAAAACATGAGCTGCTGCACCCAGCGCGGAAGAAGGAGAAGAAGAAGAAGCGGCTTCCCTGTCCTCTGCGGTGCGGAGCAGGACGCGCGCAGGACAGCTGGTAAGGCGCCATTCAGGGTCCGTTCAAAGTTGCTCGAGAAGTGATTTAAGACTTTGTCGCAGCGGTTTAGAGTGATGGTGCTAATATCTTTATGCTTGCTGTAAAAGCAGACCGGGGCCTCTTGTCTTCGTGTTTGCTGTGACAACACTGAAATGATCGTTTGATGTTTGATTTGCTTTCACTTCAGCCGCTCTCAAACCTCCCCGCACGCACCTGCCAGCTGCTTTGGACTCCTCTGACTCTTAGGATCACTGTGACCTGGATTCAGAGCTGGGCTTCATTCACTGTTTATTGGGAGGGCATTAATGAAACGCAGTCTCGTAGGAGGGTAGTGGATGTGTTTGTTCCTGTGGTGCTTATAAAGTTAAGTTATATGAGTTATAGTCAGAAGTGTTTACAAGGTGCCAGAAGGGGAAGGGGGGCCTCGGAACTGCGGAAAAATATAAATCAAAGGTACTGTGGTTTTATAGGTGTGTGTGTATTCTCAAAGAGAGGACAGTGGCAGTCAGAAGTCCTCCAGTGTGATCCCTTCTGCGGTGGGCTGCAAATCTAAATATCAAAGTGCCGATTACACACATACAGAGAGAGAAACAGAGAGAGAGAGAGAGACTTACAGCTGCGTGTGTTCTCCTCCTTTCCAGAGGCTTTGAGGGGATCATGGCCAGATGAAGTCTTTAAGCTTCAGGTGTTGTGACATTCAGGGTATTTTGTGTTGATCACTCTGGCTTTACCGCTGTGTTACTGTTTCGGGATCTATTTCAACTTTAATCTGTATTCTTCTCGTTCCTTGCATTCAGACTTTCAGCATCCGGTGATTTCCCTCCTGAAATGTCAAGATTTGTCTGCTCAAAAACGTGATTATGGCTAACTGACTCACACATTTGTACATGAACTTTCATGCTTACACTCTGACTCAATGACCCCGTGACTCACACAGTCATATACATACAATGTCTCTCTCACACACACTCACACATGAGGCCCATTTGGAGGGAGGCAGGCCTCTGATGTTCAGAGCCACTGAGAGAGTCAGCAGTGTTTTCTCGATTTTTCTCGATGAATCTCTGTGTGTCCAGGCGCTTTGGCATCACCTGAGACTTGTCGCACGTCCCCAGCAGGCGTCGTCCGCTGAATTTCTGTAAAGCCTGTGAAAACTTGTCATGCCATTGAAGCGGCCTTGTTTTTACTTTACTCTGGATTGTTTCAAAATCTCCAGTTTGTTCTCAGGAGGAACCTGAGGGTATGGCCTCGGCTTCAGGCATCTCACACTCGCCCGTCACGCTGCCACAGCTTTCACTTCCTCCAGTCAAAGGTCATGGGGGTCAGTGGCCCCGCTGAGGGTCAGGTACAGCCGGCCGGCATGCTCTCTTTTCCAGCAGCCTGCTGATGTGTGGTCTGGCTTGTTTTAACTGGCATGTGGCTTTGCAAGAGTTAGCGTGCCGTTTGTTGGTGTTACGGTGTTAACTCTTTCTTAATCTGACGCCAGCCGGGGTCGCAGAGGAGCCACTTAAACACTTATAATCAAAACTAAAACACGAGTTAATTTAAATAAAAGCATCCTCGTTGATAGACTTGGATCCGCTGTGACACTATTTGTCTTCCCCTCTGGTTTTATTACTCACTAAGCCTTCATCCGCAGGGCCTGATACCTCAGTTATTACGCGGTGTGTTTAATTTAATATTCTGGGACATATTGAGGATAAAAACACTCATATCTTTTTTTTTTCTTTAAAGCAAGATTGCATCTCTCAGATTTGCCAAAAAAAACATAACCTCTGCTTCTGCTGACAATCAAGTGGAATGAAGTGAGGAAAACAGCAGAAGGTAGGGGGAACATTCAGTCACTTATGGAGGTTTAAAAAAAAGCAAAAAGTCCCACAAAGTTTGGAGCAGAGTTGTTTTACGGGGGGACTTTAATCAAAGTAACCATAAATCTTATAAACTGATCATATTGACAATTTTAACATCACACGTCTGTCTCACCAGGCAAAACCTGTTAACTTTAAAGCAGATGAGAACTCGACAATTCAGTACAAATAAATAATATTTACTAAATATTGATCATTAGAACAGCATCCATCAGAGCACAGAGGTTATTCTGAACATCCTGCTTCTCATATGTTCATTTTGTTTGAAAATAAATCTTTCATTACAGCATGTGTGCTTTAAATCGAGCTGCTCAGATTAGAACGACTGACAGAAAACTGAACTCTTGTTTAACCTTCAGAATGGCATCATGAGGATGACGTAACACTGTTTGTTATCAAATTAATGATCGAATTGGTGAAAACTAACAGAATGATAATATTAATAATTAATCAGTAAAGTTTACTCACCAAGCCACTGACCTATCAGATGATCCGAATTTTTTGTATGCCTTCAAGTCGAAGGTTAAAAAGTGTCTCCAAATAAGAACTCACGTTGTACGTCTGTCGTGGGAATTTAAAAAGAAACGTGATCGCAAAGTAATTAAAGTGTGACCAAATACCTTTTATGCCTAATCGTCTGATAATGTGTGGCTGTATATTTCCTGGATTAGTCATATTGACAACACGAGAGATTAAAAAGCAGATAAAGCCTTGTGCTTTTAAGAATAGAAAAGCTGATTTCCATCACAAACAGTGAAACCTACTCATTGTTCACTGAGCACATTAATCTGACTGACTTCAGATTAAAGCATATGATTCATTTCACAGCAATACTGATGCAGTGCAACATTCAAGCAATACACCAGACCACAATCTTTCCAGATTAATGGACAGCCGTCAGTAAAAGATGGATGCGTGCTCTGCGCAGGGAGGCTTGTCTTCGTCTGCGCCTCTGCTTCGGTGTGTGTAACGTTACTCTGGCTGTTTTGTCCCAGCACTAATGGAGAGAGCGCAGGGAGAGAGATTGATTATGCAACGTGAGGTGCCACAGGGCAACTTCAATCTGGAAGTGCTTAGAGTACGCAGCGAACCACAGTGATTCCTTCAGGGCAAATTGAAGGAGGCATGATCTGACATAAAGGAATTTCAATTTGTTAGATGTATTCCTTCAGACAAATGCTTCCCATGCTACTTCTGTTTTCTGTGTCCCTGCTTTTGTAGCGCTGGACAATCTCGTGTAACTACACAGGGGGAATTACTCCTTTCTGTGATCTTGGATTGTTTTCTTGTTGTCGAGCACTTTGGCTTTTTTTTTTAAGTTCAAACACTTTAAATTATTTAGAACAAAGCAAAAGTTAATATGTTTGGAGCCGCTGATGAAACATAAAGCTTAACCTTTGTGCTTATCGTAAAATCTTCCTCTTAAAACAACTTTTTCTCCGAATACTGAAGAATGTTAACTAGCCCAGCGCCATGTTTGTGTCTCTGAGAGCGCTTTTTGATACAATAAGCTGTATTCTTCTGAAATTAGCAGGTCAGATTCATTAATCATAGCGTCTGAGGGCCGCTTTGAACTATCAGGCCAGGTCATTAGAGCCAGCCTGTCTGGGGTGGGAGAGGGTGACACGGAAACACTTTGGAGAGCGCTGGTTCAACCAGACCCAAGTCACACTAATAATGACCTGCGTGTGTGTGTGTGCGTGTGTGTGTGCGCGCGCACATGCGTGTGTATGTGTGAGAGAGAGAGAGAGAAAGAGAGGGAGTGTGTGTCACTTATAACCACTTCTCTGAGAGCTATTCTCAGGCACAGTGTGGGCTTAATTTGAAGAAATAACAACATGAGATTGGAACAAGAAAAGGTTGCAAGGGTGCAGGGGGGGATTGTAGGAGAAGAAATTTCAGTGTGGGTGTGTGCATTTGTGTGTGATTTGCACTGCCAGTTTTTCCTGGAAATATAAGCTTTACAGTGTTTTGGGGGGGGGGGGGGGGACGAATAAAAACGTGATAGCTTCAGTGTGTGTGTGCGCGTGTGTGTGTGCATGCAGGGGGGGAGAGTTTATGACAAATGCATGTGTGCGTGTGCATGTGTGTTTTCTATCTATTCCTGTCCATCCCTCTGTGTTCTCCCCCGCTGTCCTTTCTGCGGCCTTTTAAGCGCTGCCGTCCTCACAAACACCGGAAAGTGAAATCCTATCCTCCGATCATCGCTCCAGCATAGCTAAAATGTGTTCCCATTTAAGGTGAGGCTCAACCAACGGCTCTCTGTGTGGCTTCCTTTTAAAACCAACTTAATCAGGCAGGAATTTGGGTTATTAGGGTCAGGGACACTGGGAAGCAGCTTTAGTGAGAAGCAAAGTGAAGGGAAGCGAGACGGTGAGGACACAGATGTGTCGCATCAGCTGTTGCTGTCTTTAACTCATGGGAAAGCAGGCGGTGCGCAGAGAAAGGTGGTGTCCCGTCTAATTTACCTGATCGGGTCACAAGACACTTACAGGTCTGATGCATTGTGGGATTCTGTGTGGATAATTAGCGATAACTACACTATAGCTAAACTTTCCAGTGACCCTGCACACTTAATCTTGTCTAGAGGCGGTGGTACTAAATTCCAGCTGATGTGGAAAAATCTAGAAGGTTTATATGCTCATTATACCGGAAACCTACTGAAAGCTGGTGTTTTTCTAGCTCTCCTGCTAATTTTAGCAAGGTATTCGCCACTTTAACATCTAAAATTTAGCAACAGATACAAGCAGTGTCAAACACAAGCTATCAGAAAAAATCACATAGATTTTGAATTACTCTATTATTGATTATTTTGGGCTGACTGGGAAACCAGTTGTGTGAACGACAAAGCAGTTGCCCCGATACTCAACAGATTTGGAGAAACATTAGCATTGATTCAGTTGTGTTTGTGTCCTGCAAAGTTAGCAACTAGAGGGTGAATTCATTGAAACAGTTAGCTTCTAAAGTAGCAGACATTTCCTTCAGATGATGAGAACAAAACTGAACTAAAGTAAGAGTGAATGCTGGACATGTTCCCGCCACTTGCAAATGAAAAGCTTTATTGAGTGCAGTTAGCTTAAAAAAGCTAAAATAACCTCTCTGTTGCTTAGCTGAACTATCGAGCCTTCAGAT